ATGCTCTGCTGTGGTTTGTAGATAGCAAGTAGGTCACCGTTCTCCGGAGTGGCCAGCTCATAGGAACCCACAGGCCTGGGTCCTTCTTCAGAGTCCAGGGCCATGTATCACCTTTACTGAAATGACGGCAGCCCGCCTACTGCAGGGCACATCTGTCTGAACCCAAACTCCTGGATTATCAAGCGACACTTCCTACAGCAGTCTGCTGTCCACAGACACAGCCGGGGCCCCAACACGAAGCTGCTTCCCGCTCACCTTCCAGCTCGGCCTGAGCTTCCGTAGAAACAACACTCTTCAAGCGGCTATACAGGGCCTGGGCCGTGGCCTTACCCTGCTCCTTTTCTTGCCACTTCTTCAACATCCTAAATTTACAGATGGTAACATCTTCTTTCTTCTCCTGGATAGCATCAATATCGCTGATCTCCAACTCCAGGTTGGCAATTGCAATTTTTATCCATTCGTCCCCCAACTTCTCAGCAAGGGTGATCAGCTGAGCGTCTGTGAGCCACGGTCTGGTCTTCACTCCATCTACAAGCAGATGAGAACTCACTAGTTCCTCCTGACTCTTCAGTCATTTATAGCAATTCACAGTGAGAAATTACTCAGTTTAGATTAAAAAAAAAAAGAGGGGGGGGGCCAAGATCTTTAACTGATCTTAAAATCTCTGCTTCCCAATAATGGCTGAAGGGAATTATGTCAAATAAGAACATTAGATTGAAAGTATAATGGTAGCAGTTCAATAATTCGGGGAAAGATACTGTCTTACAGAGCTGCCTAGATTAGGTCGGAGTAAAAAAAAAAAAAAAGACAGCACAAATGTTATGTGGCTCAAAAAGAAAAATACGGAGCTTTGACCTTGCCCAGCTCTGGGTTTATGCTCAAATGTCAGAGCCACACTCAGGTAACTATTTCGTGGAGCACTACAGGGACAACAGGAGACCCGAGGTAGTCTCCCTTACGCCACCTCCTGGTATTAGAGGGAAAGCACGTTCTACAGAAAAGTATTTGTAACATCTGGTGACCTCTAGGAAACAGCATCATAATCCTGGTGGGCCTAGGCCAGCCAGCGGCCACCACTGCCCTATAAAAACATCAGCCCTATCATTAGGCTCAATTCTACTTTCGGTGTCTTTGCTGGCAGTGCAAAGGTGCAGCAAAGCTCTCTGGCAGCAGTCTGGGAAAGGCTCCTCAAGGTATTACAAATACTGGAGGTAAGACCCGAAGGCAGTGAGAGAGAAGAGGACCCCCTGCCCTTCCTCCAGGATGCAACACCTCCATCTCCCACCACCAGCCTCTGCACTCGGCTGGTCCCCAATTCAGTGCGCTCCACCTTCTTCATTAAGACACAGATGCGGAAGTAACACCCACGCCCCCTAGTGGGCTCCTGATACGCGGTCACTTGCTCAGGATATATCTCAAAAGAACCAGCAAAAATGTTAAGTTCTCAGGACTATCCTGAGATAGTCTAACTGACATCAGAGTCTGACCCTAAATTCTAATAAAAATTTCAAAGTGATTCTGTTGAGTGCTAATCAGATTTTCAAAAACAGCACAGTGATATACTGAATCTGAAACTAGCAGCCTAGTGACTCCATAGCTCAAAGGATGTTGCAAAAATACTTAAACAAAAATAAATCTTTATTAATGGGCTTAGATATCACATTTTCAAATCCAAAAAGGTTGGGAATCCTTCATCTTTCAGCTAGTATTTGATAACTTTTGGTTACTTGTTCTAGGATCTAATTGTAAATAATCAAATAATAGCATGCAATCAGGAAACTTGTTCTATCAATCAATTTAATATAAAATTGGTCCCACTCCATTTTAAAATGGTTAAGTTCTGGAGAGCTAATGAGCAGTATGATGTCTACAGTCAATAATATATACTACACACTTAACATTTGAATAGAGAGTAGATGCTAAGTATTCCCAACCAAAAACAAGTAGCTATGTGTGGTGATGGATGTGTTCATTAACTTGATTGGTAAATTTTTCACGATGCGGACATATATCAAGTCATCAATAAAACTGGAAAAAATGTATCCCAACTTAGTTTGATTTTAAAAATAATTCCGGAACCTCACTTTTTTTGATGCTCACTTAAAAATAACAGTAAATAGGACCCTCCCTGGTGGTGCAACAGGTCAATGCACATCACCATGAAGCCAGATGCAGCCACTTTAGCATAAGTTTGATCCCCCCCACACACACACCCAGGGAGGGGACCCACATGACATGACAGACCTCTCCTGTCTCGCTCGCAGCTCCCCTCAGCAGTGTGCTTCTTCGATCTGCCTGTGTTGCTCCCCATTCCCTGGTGAATTCTCTCACTTCCCCTGTACCTGCACCTCTGGCCTGTACCCTAGTTCTGTATGCATAAGTAAATAAATCTCTTTTTAAAAATAATAAAAGTAAATATTTCCAGTGATATTTGACAAAATCATACATACAGCCTCGTGCTCTAAAAAGTAGACAGTATCTTATTTCCCTTTTTAGAGAATCTTTGTCTGCTGTTAGAGATTCATAACTTATAATAATAGGAAACACAGTAACAGGACATTTGAGATGAAAGGGTTAACTTGGGGAGTTATATGCAGTCCAAGGTTTTGTCTCATATAATTTGAGCCTGCATTTTTAAACTTAGCATTGAGAATTGTACCTGGCCTTAAATTTTGGGTTCGTTAAGTGATGTTAAATATTTTAAATCTCTTGCATTTTCACAATTACTGATCTTTGGCCTCAGCCAGTTATTTGGAAACGTGGTTCTTTGCATCCCAGAAGTAGCTAGTAACTGGGACTCAGTGGAGCACAATGCGCAATCTCATTCACTACTTCTTCCACATTCAGGACTGTGGGAACTGGGCGGCCCGTGTCCCCATGTGTGAGGACTGCGAGGATCCTCAGGTCACCCACTCTGCTCAGAGTATGGGAAGGGTGGAGGGGAAGGGAGTGGAAAAGCAGGCAGAGCCCACCACGGAGGAGCCCCTCTAGGCCTGCGCAGCTGGAAGACAGGCATCACGTGAGGGCAGGCACATCTGGGACGAGCCTCTGGGAAGAATGAGCCTACAGCAGTGTGTTGGATGAATATTGCAGGAGGCGCTGGAGAAAACTTACAGCCATTGATGGTCCCTTTACAAACCTGAATTGTCAATCCGCTTCATCCTTTTATCATAGACCTCCTCGTCAGGTAAGCTGCTACTCATTTTTCGGCGTCTGTTACCTTAAAAAAAATAAATCAACATATTGGTTTCCCCTTTTATTTCTTTGTATATGCCCGGTTTTAATCTGTGTTTTTTTTAAATCCATCTTTCAAATAGAATCAAAATGAGGAAGAACTCAAAAGGTTGTTCAGATGCTTAAGAGTTGTCACATACCTAACAGATTCTTATTGTCTCAACATTTGTGGGGCAAAATAATTCTAGTAAGTGGGAGGAATAGAAGCACAAGTTAAAACTTTTCTAACATCCAGCCACAAGCACTTACCACTTGTGTTTCTTTTCGAGATGTTTCGGTTCTGATCATGTTGAACCCAGTCACCTGTTAACACATAAGCACCAGTCAGGGTAAGTGATGTAAAGTTTGAATTAAAGAAATCTATTTGAGAAAGTGCATACAATTCTAGAGTTTTGGCAATCTCTCCAAATACAAGTATTCCTTCTAACACATCTTGCAAGGCAAGTGTTCCCCCTCTGATGTCATCTACATAAACACTGTCATGATTTCTGCCACACCCTTGTGCCAACTGAGAGGCTACTCAATACAACTATTGAAAACAGAACACTAGTAATGACTTGCCATGTGGAAAAGGTGGCAATGAAAATAAACACTTTTTCATTTTAAATGTATGTATGTATGTATTTTTCTGATTCCTTATTTGGTTTCACTACATTTCTCCTATAAGTGAGACCATTCGATATTTTTCTTTTTCTTCCTGGCTTATTTCACTGAGCATAATCCCTTCCTGCTCCACGCATGTTGTTGCAAAGGGCATGAGTTATCCTTAAAAAATATGTATTTCATATCCTAAAAAGAAATATATTTGCTTCTCCAAAACTTGTTTCATCTATCAACATTCTGTATGTTGGTAAACACAGTAGCTAGGGACTCCTTCCTGGAGACTTCATGGTGATTTGAAATCACGTGTTTTAAATTTAGCCCCTGCTGCAACAGATGCTTATGTCTCGTGCATGGTTTCCTTAGGTCTCTTCGTAGTGATGACTAACCTAAATTAAGCACTGATTAGCTTAAGCCACCCACCCCCACCTCCCCAAAAATAGAATCATAAATATCTTACTCTGCAGAGTATTAACTAAGATGTTTAAAAAAAAAAATACTAAGAGGCCTTATAATGTGGCCTTTAAAACTACCAAGACTATCTGCTATCCCAGTACCGTGTATTCAATTACTATTGACTATGACTAAATACTCTACTTCCCTGTGACTAAAAAGTAACATCTTTCAAAGTCCTTTATTTGAAAAAAATTAATGAATACCAAGAAAAATGATCTAATTCCCAACACTGAGAATCCCAAGGAGGACCCTTTACCGGCAAGTAATTTTAGCTTGGACAAATGGACCCACTTTAAGGTGGAATACTGGGAATAAGAATCAATCATATCTAGAATATATATATATATATATTTTTTTTAAGGCTCTTTTTAGGATAACTTATGCCCTTTGTAGCAACATGGATGGAACAGGAAGGGATTATGCTCAGTGAAGTAAGCCAGGAAGCAAAAGAAAAATATCGAATGGTCTCACTTATAGGTGGAATGTAGTGAAACCAAGTAAGGAATCCGAAAAAACAAAGTAACTATGATAAAGTAAAAATCAATATCAGGGCCCTCCCTGATGACACACGGGTTAGGGCGCAGCAGTGCAAGCTGGCCACA